ATTCAGTTGGATTTCTCAGATTTTTAGGATAAATACATCTTTACATTTGGCTTTAATGAATTGCCTCATGTCGGTAATGACCATAGTTTAAACCGTGCAACACTTATAAGAGAGGATGTACAATAAAACAAAAAGATCTGAAAATGAAAAAGGGGAAATATAATAAGGCGAAAAAAGAAAAAAGGCACAGAAGGAGACATAATCTAGGTAACTGTTTTGTGAATTTGAGCCACAGAGGAAGCGGTGGTGCATGATAGAGATCTCTCCCTGGCAGATGTTCTGCTTTGTGTAAAGCCAAAGGAGCTTGAGCTTAGATGTTGAAGATTAATTTTCACTCAAAAGGTGAAGTCTTTTTTTTAAGTCTTGAATAATAACAGAAAGAGCCACCATGTTTTGGTCTCCTTCTGTTATTGGAGTCACTTTATGACTCAATCCAAGATCTCATCTCCCCTGTCAGACTAAACAACAAGAATCTGGCTCCCAGATTGTATTAGTCACAGAGCAGTTGCACTCTGTTGAATTATACAATGCAGTGCAGATTAAACATGGCATCATGCCAGTGACATTTGCTTAAGCTGGTTGTATCTTATCTTAATGAAAGAAGACAGTATCTTCTATTACATTTAACATGAGAAATTGCAAAGAAAACACTTGAAATGAAATGTATTCAATTGATGCAGTTTTCACAGTTTGGTTATAAGGATAACATTTGACCAAAAACATTGCTGTGTCTAATATGTCACACTCTGACTTAACGTAATGCTTGTGTGTGTTCAGGTCAGTGTTCCCCGGGTCAGTACTCCCATGACGGCTTCACCCCCTGCCTACCCTGTCCCCTGGGAACGTACCAGCCTGAGGTGGGACGCACCACCTGCTTCTCCTGTGGGGGGAATCTGATCACCAAGCGCATCGGGGCTGTCACCTTTCAGGACTGCGAGACCAAAGGTGCCATATTAACCTCTGTTGCTGTTGTTGTTGTTTTAGGGTAATAAGAAATAACTCCAGTTAAGTTCATGTCTAATGTTTAAACATAAATAAAGAGATCAGATGGGATTTATGGAACTGAGGGTGGTTATAAAACCTGTCAAATTTGTGAAACATTTGTGGTTCTTTGGTTAAACAAACACAAACAACGTTCATAACAAAGCTGTCATGTGGTCTTCAGAGCTCCTTTTGGGTGTCGACAGGAACTCTGCTGCCCTCTGCAGCTGCTGTTTTGTCTCTACATGGAGGCAGCGGGTCAGATTAATGTTTTCATTCAGGACAAGGGAACAGAAAAGTCTTGTACTTAAGTGCATTACCTGAGTAAATGAGTAACCGTCCTTTGTAAGCGTTTAATAATTTGTATGATATCACAAATAATAGACACATATATTAGAGATGTTAAAAATTAACTATAAAAGTGAGTATTGGGATCTTCAGAAACTAACAGCCCTCCATCACTGTCATTGGCTCCTGCAGTCCAGTGCTCTCCGGGACATTACTACAACAGCAGCACTCACCGCTGCATCCGCTGTCCCATGGGCGCGTACCAAGGAGAGTTTGGACAGAACTACTGTGTCTCCTGCCCTGGAAACACCACCACCGACTTTGATGGCTCCACTAACATCATGCAATGCAAAAGTATGTATCTCTGTACGCAATGAAGTCCCTGAAACAAACACATTGAAAATGAAGTTTAGGATTCAGTTCCAGATTATTCACTTTGTTGCACCAAGAAACAAATCTGACGAATCTGAGTAACTTTACAGACCGACATTGTGGAGGAGAGCTGGGAGATTTGACTGGCTTCATCGAGTCCCCCAACTACCCGGGGAACTACCCCGCCAACGTGGAGTGCACCTGGACCATAAACCCCCCGCCCAAACGCAGGATCCTGATTGTCGTCCCAGAAATCTTCCTGCCAATTGAGGATGAGTGCGGGGACTACTTAGTCATGAGAAAGAGCTGTACGTTTGTGTTAAATTACTCAAAACTATTCCACCAATGGGTTAACTTTACACTAAATGTTACCAAGTAAACCAACATGAACTTTCATTAATGTATTTGTCTTACTGGGATTACAGTAGGTTACTAGATGGGCTTTTCACCAAAACAACATGATCGATTTATTGTACAATATAAGGATGCCCCCTTAATGATCCTTGCTGAATTTAATATGACCTATTTTTTTTATGTGCATAATTCTTTACATAATAATGTCACCAACATTATAACCAACTTGATACCAGAATTGAAAATCTTGATTTCCCACCCAGTATAAGACTATGGGCATTGCACATATAATACACAATTTTGTTAACAGTCCATTGGATTATTGTTTTGGTTGTGTGGCATTATTATTTTTTTTTTAAAATACATTTGGGATATTTTAATAATTTGTTATATTCCAATTATAATCATAGATGTCGTCCTGTGGGCTCATTTATTTCACAGCTCTCTCAAACTCTGTGACAACCTACGAGACTTGTCAGACATACGAACGTCCCATTGCTTTCACCTCCCGCTCAAAAAGGCTCTGGGTCCAGTTCAGGTCCAACGAGGGAAACAGTGGCAAAGGCTTCCAGGTCCCGTATGTGACATATGACGGTAAGAAAAAACATGGATATGTGATGTTTTGTGCAATAACGATGATGCCGCTACGTCAGTGTGTTGTCACATGTTTGGCCCTTCATAGTTTGTATAGGGATTTTCATCTCTCATTGTCAACTTGAATATATCTTACTTTTAGTTCTGTTTTATTGTCTATTTTGAGATGTTTGAATCTTATGTATTTTTTTCATTTTTCAAACTGTTTGCAATGCCTTGTCTTAACCTGCTGCTGTAACAAAAACAAATCTTAATTTGGGATCAATTAAGTATATCTTATCATATCTGATCTTCGTTGGTTTGATTGCTTACATCAATGTTTATTGACTTTGTTTGTTTCAGAGGACTACCAAGAATTGATAGAAGACATAGTCAGAGATGGGAGATTATACGCTTCAGAGAATCACCAGGACATTCTCAAGGTATGCTATAGTACAAATGTTTGATAAGGATTATCCGTGTTTTTAGGTTGTTTATTCTAAATTTGGAGAATATTTAGCCAAAACGTTTTACAAATGGTTGTGTATTACAATGTTTCATGTACATCTTGGCACTTTATCTGTATTGCGCCTGGTATTCTTTGTCAATATTAAATAGAACACATTATTGGCAATCTAGAAAAACTGTTAATTGTTTTTTTAATTTTTATATATTTAAGTTTCTGCAGCAGTCTCGGATGACTTAAGTTTGCACCTGTTTTCAATTTTGATTATCTTTAACTATCCTCCATTTGATGATAAGTTTTCCTTTTCCTTCTGTCCTGTGGCCCAGTAAGCATGTAATGCCCTCTTTTGGATACTGGTGGAAAAAAGGGTGATGCTCACAGACTTATTCATATTCTTTTTTGGTTTCCATTAATGCAATACATTTTTTCATCAGGACAAGAAGCTCATGATGGCGTTGTTCGATGTACTGGCTCACCCTCAAAACTTCTTCAACTACACAGCACAAGAATCAAGAGAAATGTTCCCCAAATCATTCATCCGCTTCCTGCGCTCCAAAGTTCTGAGATTCCTTCGCCCTTAAGACTGAAAGTTTCTGGATATCTCGCGAAAAACGTAGATTACATGCTGGCCACAGTATCTGTTTTATCCAATTTCCCTTTTAAGATTATTCTGAAGTTACCCCTTTTCTCATGGAGCGACACTAGAGCGGACTACACACTCGATACATTTGAAAGACAAAATGGACAAATAGAGGGAGAAAAAAGCATTTAAGTGTGTCTCTGGATGGTTCTAGATCACTTTGTTTGGACATTTGGAAACTGTCTTTTAATAAACATCAGAGAAATTGTAATGACTTTAGATATTAAAGTCACCATTTCAGGATTCAATGCTGTTCGTGCCAACATTATGAGACATTTGATAATATCATCTTGATGAAAAACAAATGTGATAGCTAAACAGATATATGCTGAATGTCAGTGATGCTGTATATAGAGTGTGTATCTAGTTTTAACATAGGCTTCTCTCACAGGTAGAGTGTAATGCACAGAAATACTGCTGAAACAAATATAGCACAAATGTTTATACCTGGAACATTAGCACTACTAAAGACGTAGTGGCACCACGAAAGCAATTATTCTGATGAATGTGTTGTATATGATGTAAAAAGTTTTAGGTGAAACTCTAATGTATTGTAGTAACTACGTACATGTTTGACAGTGTAGCATTGCTGGTGGCTCATGTATTTGATGTTTCAAGGCGTATGAATGAGTATGCGTCAATATATTTTGTATTATTTACTAGCAACCAAAGACAACTGTTCAGAATACATGAAATAAATGAAAGTCCTGTAAAATAGAATTGAGCTTTTCACCTGTCTTAGAAGACAAGTATATGTATATTTTTATGGTTTTGTACATCTAATATGCTGTAAATAAAGATAGGAAAGTTATTCTGTGTTCTTTTTCCCTGTCCCCACATTTTTTGTATTAGGCTATGTGGCACAAAACAAATTGTATATTGAATTTCATTCAGACATGTATACACATAGTAACAACAATATACCTGGCTATGATAACATAACAAATACTTTTTTTATCAGCCAGATTTCAATCAACTAGATACATTATAAGTAAAAGAGTTGTTGTCTTGTCCTTAAACCGCAGTCCTTTGATGGTCCCCGGGCCACAGTTTGGTAATCTGACTGTTTGCAACAATGTCGAAACAGAGGTGCGTTCGATTTACTCTCATACGCTAACAAGTAAGGGCGGAGTTTAATTTGGATTTTTAAAATGTTCTCATTAATATTAAAAGTAACTGATTTAGTTGTTGAGTAATTCATTATTCATTGCGCTAAGTCAGATCAGATACTTAACCAGACAATAATGGAAGAAAACAGACCCTCGGTATTTCACATGTCATCCTCCGCCGGGGACTTCTTTTTATAATCGAACGCTCCCAACCCGGAAACAACAAGTCAGCTGCTAGGAAGCTGAAGGTGTTTATCCCTAAATTAGCTCGATGGCTAAAGTCGTCAGTCTTTAGGGTGTTATTCACACGGTTGGAGTTGTTCCTGGAGAAAGTTGAACTGCTGCTATCTAGAAATCTGTTACAAGCTGTAACGATGAAGTCTATGTTTCTTATCGAAGCTTTCACTGTGGCTTGTTTTGTGCTTTTAAGCCAAGTGACAGCGAAGGTAAGGCTAATATGAGCTAGCATTGGTTAGCTAGCGTTATACAGAAACTGTTCATGAATGCATACTAAAATGAAATCTCGGATAATGGAATTCCCCTTAAAGATGATTATATTTTGAGTATTGACAGTAAAGCGTTAAAATGGCTGTTGTTATCCTGAGTTAAAGACCTTTATGAGACAAGCAGGTGCGTCGCCGATGCTGCTAAATCTAGACCTAGCTTTAGTGTCAGCATAAAAACGTGATATGATGATGAAGAAGAGATGTAATGCAGGTGTATAGCTCTTTGTAGCCAATGTACTGACATCTAAGTGTATCCTGTACTTATTTAGGGAGGCTAACAGCTAGCATCGTCTTTAGCTGCTCCTCAATCAATAATAAACGTTGTAATTAACATTTAATTATTGCAATATGACAATAAATATGAAAGTGCAGTATGAACTGCGTAGCTAAATGTATAGACGACATCAGGAAGACAGACACAAAGACTACTGTGGTACAATATGGCTGACATTAATAATTCAAAACAGCTTCTGGGTTGGGTTAGGGTTTTACTTGGGATAAAAAAAACGTTATTCGTCTAGCACTTTTTAAAACATAGTGTCAACAAAGTTCTTCACACTGAAGACTGAAACAATAACAATACTATGACAATATAGCAATAAGAATCTTAAATCACCACAGAAATAAAACGGGATTAAAGCAGCAAAATACTGAAAAGTAATGGGGGAAAATGAAATGCATATACATTGTACTGGACTGCCCTCGAGAGGGAATTTTTAATTGGGCAACAGTGTAGCTAAACTTGGAACAATACATAGCCAACAAGGTAGGGCAGTGATAGACCATAGACACTTTGTAAATAAAATAAAACGCAAAATATTGCACATTCCTTCTAAGATGAAAGTCATACATAGTTATAACAACAATGAGACACACAATTATCATTAAAGGGTTGTTAAACAGTTAAGCACAATTAACCTCTTATCTTGATGAATACTGTTATCTACCTAAAATAAAAATAAATATTTGACAATGATATGTGTTATGTAAGTGTGTTGTGTTTATGTGAATAGAGAGAAGTAAACAAAAATTGTAATCTCTGTTACAGAATTCTGAGGACATCCGTTGTAAATGCATCTGTCCGCCCTACAGAGAGGTCAAGGGGCAAATCTACAAACAAAATGTCTCTCTCAAAGACTGGTATGTAAAGTGACGTGTTGCTACGCTTTAATGACCTGATCAATCCATATACTGCTAACTACTAACTTCTTAATGTTATATTTTATTTTTCAGTAACTGTCTTCATGTAGTTGAACCCATGCCGGTTGACGGAAAGGATGTGGAGGCATACTGTTTACGCTGCGAGTGTAAATATGAAGAGAGGAGCTCAGGGACAATTAAGGTAAGCAGCAGGGTTCGTTAATGTCTATAAGATTGGCTTATTTTTCCATTGATCTTTTGGTATTTGAAATGCCAGAAAATTGTGAGAATTGCGATCATACCTTCCCTGAATTTTCACATGATCCATTTGCTTGTTTTGTCTCAACATAAAACCCCCAACATTTTAATTTACAATAACATAAAATAAACAACCCATCCTCTGGAATCAGCTTTGAACAGATTATTAAAATAGCTGCCAATAAATTGTCTGTGGAATAAGACATTAATCAACTAGTCAACTAGTCACATAATTCACTGTGTTTTCTGTGTTTGGATCCAACACATTTGAAAGGAAACCAAACGTATTAATAATCCTTTTAATTTAGAATCAGGGGCGTCAGTAGCTCAGTTTGTAGGGCTTGGCTTGGGAACCAGAGCGGCGGCGTTTAAATGCAGAGACTAAATGTCACTGTTTGTGTACATACTTTATGTTTGACATTTAAAATGGTAATTAATTCAAATCCTAAAAGTCGTTCCTTTCCTTTCTTCCTTCCTTCTGTATTTTTAGGTTACCATCATAATGTACCTCTCCATTTTGGGGCTGCTGCTGCTCTACATGGTGTACCTGACTCTCCTAGAGCCCATCCTGAAGAGGCGTCTGTTTGGACATTCGCAACTGATCCAAAGTGATGATGATGTAGGGGTATGTGTTCATCTTTATTTACAGTATTGCAACTCAAAGATGGAATGCACAATAAGGGTTTATATTATGGTAATGATATTACTGCCCCACCCTTTTGCCCATAAAATGAGTTATTCTTTCTTGTCAATGTGTCAACCTTTGCACATCATGTGACATGTGACTCATTCTTTGTGGGTAGAAGAGTGTAAAAGCTCCCAAATGACCGAATAACACATTAAACAACAAATATTTCTTTAATATTTTTTAAATAAACAAATCAGGTGGACCACTTCCTTCAAGCAGTGCTGTGTAATCTTTTCCAAACAAACATTTAAAAGTGCGTTCTCACTCTCTGTATCAGATCCATTAGTAACCACAATCGCAGGCAAAGATCTGCATTGCGGAAACCTTCAAACGAGTGCCGGATGCAGGCATCTTTAAACCTTTTTGGTTCACTCCCACATCACATCATTGTCTCTTTGTGCTTTTGCCACTAAACCTAATTCTTAAACATCAATACAATTATAGTCTGGATTAAACTGAAATGTAAGAAATCTAAACTATGAGATTGAGCTTAAATGAGTGTAGTACTACAATGTATTAATTGAACCTTAAATTGAGACTATTTCTACATTGTAGCTTGTCCCTACACGGTCACTGTGGGAGTGGGAGTAAAAAAGGGAAAGAGACTTTATGGCAAAACCGGTATCAAAAGAAGTACCGGTACTTCTTCTACATTAATTATAGAGGAAAGGGTGGGCTCGTAATGTTTAGTCAGTCTTTGATACAGGGAGGCTGCCAAGCTGATACTCTGGTTGATTTCCCCCACAGAGGACAGCTGTGGCTGTGATCCTCCTAATTTAGTTTTGTCATTAACTTTTATTGGATTCCTTCTGAGAGTAATTAACATTTATTGTATAGACCTCAAGACAAGTTACAAAAGTATTAACAGAGAGACAAGCAATGAAGAAAACCCACTGATGATAGTGAAGTACACATCACTAACTAAAACACGACTCTGTATGAGTGCATATACAAAATGTAAGTCTAATTATTTCAAGGGGCAAACACCCTTCACACGGTTTCCTGTATATGTTTTATCCTTAGCGGAAAGCCACAAAAAAACGAATCAGTTAGTAGATGACAGCCGAACAAATAATAACTTTGTTTTTTCCCTTAAAGGTGGTGTAGGTAAGTTTGAGAAACCGTCTCGAGATACACTTTTTGTTATATTCCATGGAATGCTCTTAACATCCCGATAGCAATGAATATCTTAAGTGCTTTGACAAAAAATCCATAAAAAAATGTCATCTGTGGAAGCCGTAGTACTGTAAAAAGCACGACCAATCATTTTAGCCGGCCCGGCTAAAATAACTGGATGGCCTACCTGCCTGTCAGCCTTCCATCTGTGCACAAACTTATCTCGTGCCCTCATTGGTCATGTGCGCGTTCGTGTGTGTGTTGGAGGAGGGGCTCTGTAAGGAAGTGGCAGATTTTTTCCGGCTGTGTATTTTCAAATTCTAGCGCACTCGAGCTGGTTTCTCCAAAATTACCTACCCCACCTTTAAGGTTTACCTTGTCATTCACAACAGTACATTTTTTTAATTAATGTTGGTAATGGTATTTGTCTTTGGGTAAGGTGGGTGACCCTTGCACCATACATTGGGGGAAACTTTGCATTGTGGGCCTCCATTGTCTAACATCATTAAAAAGAGTCTCCACCAAACCATATTATCACAATGTGACATTATTACGATTTAAAAATGTTTTTCTCCAATATGCTGACTGTTGTGATTACATATATTGTAATTTTATTTATTTTCTTTGAAATGCAAGATATACAGTTTGTCAACATCTTTTTATCCAATAGGATACATTTTCCTTAACATTTTAAACTACTTTCTCCTAAGTCTCCATCTAGTGGTCTATAAAGGAATTGTTGCCAAAAAATGTAATTTGTACTCACAATATTTATTATTTTTACAAAAGGAAGATGGATGCTTGGCATCTGTGTATAATCAAACGTTGCCTTCCAAAATATCGTAATCCTATCTTGAACCGACTTCTCCTTGACCCCATTGGTGCATTTTGTCATTTAGTAAGGAGTCCTGAAATATAGACTAACCTGCTGACCCAAGTCATACCTTTGAGCTTATCGTGTCTTTTTCCATTCTGTGTTTCCAGGACCAGCAGCCTTTTGCCAACGCTCACAATGTCCTGTCCCATTCCCACTCCCGACCCAACATGCTGAACAAAGTGGAGCATGCCCAGCAGCGCTGGAGGAGGCAGGTCCAGGAACAGAGGAAGTCCGTGTTCGACCGCCATGTTGTTCTCAGTTAAAGCTTCCTGCGATCAAGAGTTACTGGTGAAGAGAAAGAAACACTGTGACAGAGCCCTCAATTTGTATTTCTTTCTCCTTCTCATTTGTGGTTTGTATCTCATCAAGTGTGACATTTCCAAACTGAACTTGGTGAAGAAATTTGGATATATAGAGGAAAAAGTCCCAGTCAAATGTATAATCGAAGCTTGGAACTCTTATTTTGTCTGCAGGCAGCACAAGAGATTACAGTGAATTTATTGATGCACAATTTTAAATGAATTGTCTTAAAAAGCATTTTTCCAAAACCAGAATTTACTCTCTGCCTGCCATCTAGTTTGCAGAGGTGCCAAGCCACAGAGAATTTGCATAAACAAATGTGATGTTGGACACTAATAGAATAAAAATAACGTGTTATACCATCCTGTAACTCTTTCTGGCCACAGTGTCAGCTGGAGTCCCATCAGTCCAAAGCGGACCAGTCTTTAAGATCTTTACAAGCCAAACTGGCTTCAGAGTAAACCATCCCGCTGTAACTGGAGCTGCCCCTTGCTGCAGTAATGATCTTTTAACATGTAGCTTTCACCCCAAAACTAACACAACATAAACTACTGCTCTCACTGCAAGGGAACGGAAAGAGTGTAAAATATAAATGTATCAGCCTTCTTTGAAAATGCATGTTTTATAATGAATCTTTTATAAATGTGTTTTTGAATCCTTCATTCCTACCATAATGTCTGATAGCTGCTGTGAAATCCATAATTTAATGCATTACATAACATTTGAAATTTAAAGTAGTGTCACTGAAATCCTTTGCAAAATTCGATGCAATCTCTTGCTGATGTCATGGTTCTTATAGCTGTGCTATTGACCCTCGTCTATCGAAGACCCTCTTTAAACCAGTGCCCTCTTCGACTACCCTTACACATATAATTGATAGTCTTTTTTTTGGTACTTCTGTGTTGCTCTGACATCAGCTCGATAATGAAGGTCCGTGTTGTCTATCAGGCAGCATTAGTATGACTGAGTACAAAGATTTGTTTGTGTATAGTTGGGCTGTGTACAGACCTATGAAAGTGTTCTTAACTATTGTGTTTGTTTTACCTTTAACTCTGAAATAAATCAATGTAATATTTGTGAATCTTGCATTTGTAATGTGTTCGAACTCTTCATGCTTTACTTTAGGCCTCAGGCATAACCGGCGGAGCAAAGTGCAAACCAGTTTGTCCGGCTATACAGTTAAGGCATTATGCATGAGCACATTACAATGTGTTATGAAATAACCGCAGTGTTTATCTGGCATTTGTCAACACCCTTATGACGAATTTGCATAAAGATAAAAAACTAATACACTAACTAATACATTGCATGATCTTTAAGACATTACCAGCGACTTTAAGAAAGTGTAATGGAAATGGACTATTTCTTAATACATGATCTAGAAATATTCAGCAGATTAATCGATAATGAAAATAATTATAAACCAACAATTGAACACATGTTCACAGTTTCCTTTAGGTTAAAAGTAAGCAACCTTAATCCCAACATAGTCATGAAATGGCAATACTTTAATTAACTCCAAAACGTCTAGAAATCCCCTGGAAAATGGGCAGTTAAACTACTCAATTAAATCTGGTGAGAACTAAAATTGTACTCCATTTATTTTCTGAAAATGTGTCTCAATCTTCAGCATATTTTGTATTCTGCCTAAATGATTTTCATACAGCTGCGTCATCATTTCCTGTGCAGTCCACTTTTCCCTTTTTTCTTCTCCTCAGTTACACGGAGGAGGAAAAAAAATCAGTTTTCAGACAGACAGACAGAAAGCGACAGGCTCTCTGCTAAAGAATGGATCTTTGAGCAAACACTGCAACACACACACACAGGTAAGCAGTTTGTTTCACTTCATGTGTCACAAATGTTGAAGGTGTAGAAAAATAACGACTTTTTTACCTTTATATCTAACTTTTAGTATGTGTAGCATCTTTAGAGAGACAAGAGAGTTGATGAAAAAAGAAAAGTTGTTTGTGTTGCAAAGTGTTTTGTAGTGATGGCATGATTAACATGACCGTTATTAAGTTATTCATACATGCTGACTTTGATCGATGTTGCTGTGAAACTGTCTTTAACCACTGCTTTGACGTTTAGAGGGAAAAGTCTTTTTTCTCAGTATAAGTGCTGCATTTGCGTTAGTTAGCCTACAGGGGGCGCCTCATCCTATGCATTTGATCCCACAGATAATAACTAATGTCTGTTGCACTCAGTAGACACTGTTAATACACTCACCTGTGTTTACCTTTTCCTTCATGTCCCAACACGTTTCAGTTCAACTGAGACATTTTGCCAAACCCACCCTAAAAACAGACTGTACACACACACACACACGCACACGCACACGCACACGCACACGCACACGCACACAAACTGTCATGCACACATATAGGAAACATATCACCATTACGCTACATTTGCCTTCAAGGTTTCTGAGGCTGTAGTCAGACTGATGCTGTAGCTGCTGCTGTGGGGTAGAAACGCAAAAATGCCATAAGATAACAGACTGTCCTTGTTTGTACTAAACTTTGCTCCTCAGTAGCACAGTATGCTGTGAATCTGCAGCTGCAGTTATTAAAAGCATTTTATACACAATGGTGTTACTTTTTATTGAGACAACAATGAAACCTCTGGTTTTCAGAGTTCTAATTATTTTTTTTAATAATCAAAGGCTGAACTGGCTGGTCATTTTAAACTAATTTTGATTTAATTTGATTTGATTAGATTTATTTCGAATGTGTAAAACAATAATACAAAAATGTAACATGAGAATTATTATACAATACAAAATTAAGCAGTATCAAATTGATATACAAAAATATTACTGATTCTAAATTATATATAAACAAATAAACGTACTTCTTTTTGACACAGTGTGTACCATCACACTTACTTTAGTGTGATGGTACACACTGTGTCAAAAAGATAGTGAGTTCACAGTATTAATAACAGCACACGAGTTGCAAACAAATACACCCAAGGTAGTCACTATTATTTCAGTATTATTTTCTATCCTCTCCATTGGGCATATACTTCAAACAGTCAAAACTGGTTTGAAATGTGCCTGAGGCTGTAAACTCTTGAAAATATGAATAATCAAACAGCTTACATTCCTTGTCATTCTTCCAGAGCAACCACAGAGAAGCAACTGTCACATGTACTGCATGCAAATATAAAAACAAGGATGTAGCTACATTCATCTGTGAATAAGACACTTGCAAGTATTCTCTGTCAGTGCTGTCAGAAGTGTTGAGTGTCAGCTTCAACTTAATCCTGGAGTTTAAGAGCTGCCTCGGGTCTGTTTCTGACAGCCGATATGGTGTTTATTTCACCAAATATATTCACAAATAGCTTTAATATTTCCATACTTCCCTCGACCCCTCAAACCATGCAACCATGTGACCATCCAGAAGCTGAGGGAAAGAATCTGAGGTGTAGGTGGGAAAATCCCCACAGAGCTGTGAAATAATCCCCCTTGAATGTTTTAGGATTTGGGATTCACAGTGAATCCTTAACAAACACACATAACATTTAGGGATTTTATTTGAGAAAATAAACATTCATTCCCGTTGACTCTCTGGCTTAAGCAGGTGTATAATCATAAGAGTGGGAAGAAAGATTTACAGCATAAGAGCTCTGCGGTCAATCCTGAGACTTTCTGTATATTATTTGGAGACTGGCATGAAACAGTGGAGCGTCAAGGGTTTACGGATTTCATGGTGAATGTATGTGAGCACATGCATGTTAACTTTGTTTTACTGAACTTTAAATGTTGTTTGATGCTCCCATGTCATGCAAGAAGAGGATGTGGCTTTTTAATGACAAATACAGATGGTACTGCGATCCATGGAAACAATGAATTTCATGAGAGTACAAACTTGTGTTACATTCTGGTAAAACATCCCACAAAGAGGAGTCACTGCCTCTGTCTGAGGACTTGCAGTCTTTTCAGGAAGGACAATCTTTTACGAGACCTTGAAAAGGTTTTGAGTGGGTCTCTGAGAAAAGCTGCACAGTGGCAGAGCTTGTAGGCTTCCTGCTGACTGGATGAGATGAACTGTGATGACGGATGTCTGGGTTTTGTGACTTCCTCTGTTCCCAAGTCTGCGGGATGATAAGACACCCCAAGAGACTGAAAGGAGAGGGGTTTTGGATGGGTCATGCTTGCACATTTGGTGTAAAGATGTTGCTTGCAGCAGCATATAAAGATAACCATGGATGGCAAGTGGATTAAAATGTATTGTGAATAGGAGGCTCTTTATGAGGCTCTTTTAGGAGTTTATAATTTAAAGTAAAGACATTATTTGACATGTCAAGCTTGCATTTTTGTTTGTCAGCAACATCAGTTAGCAATGTGGAATAGCATATTTGTTCTGTAAGTAATTAGTGTAAGAAACCGATCAATAGCGGTAAACATGAGGTCATAGCTGCAACTTTATTAGTCCGGAAAGACTCAACCCAGATTTCCAAGGAGCACACTTGTTTTTCGCCCGATTAAACTTTTACTTCAGTCTCTTCAGTTAACAGTTGAAACTAACATTACCCTACCTACTTTCTTTTCCTATCAGGGTTCACTTACTTGCTTGTTCTGGAGCTTTTAACTCTGATAATATTCATCAGCATCAGGAACTCTAGATGTTAACATTTTTTATCCTTTGGTGTAGTTGTTTTTAATCTGGGATAAAGAGTACCTGACAACTTCTATCAATTTATATTTGTCCAGCACACAACACAACAGATACTTTTTGATTTTGATAAAGCTCAAAGTTGTCATACATCAGATTACAAACATTTTATTTACATGTATCTGAACATAAGTCGTAAAAAATCCTTTTGTTGATAGCGATTCAATCGGGTTTCTTAGAAATGTAATATGATTTTGTCATATTTCATTGAGAGGTGCTCTATACAATAAATAAACGTACCTTACTTATATATTATTGTGAACAGCTGAATACATTGAAATGGTTAGCAAGCACTTGACCACTGAGAAGCAAACTGTACATGTTTGAAATTCATGTGGCTTTCTCATCTTGTCATCTGGTATAATGTTTTAAGGTATTTGTGGAAATGTGTCCAAATGAGCATACACAGCACATAGTCGGAGATGAATTACACAAGCTAACATAACAAAGTTTCTCTTTGTTTTTCGCTGAATGCTCCAGAAGTTCGGCGTGGGTTAAGTGGTTTAATTTGGTTGGAGTTAACTCAAACCTGGGGGGGTATTACATTTTGGGTGAATATTTTCATTTTTGTGGTCACCTCAAGTTTGGACCTGTGGTTCAGCTCTGAGCAACAATCCACATTGGATATACTTTAGAATATGTTCAGTTATGTAACAGTGGAATGAAGCTGTGCATACTCACTACATTACTGTAGTTAGTCACTTATAGCTGGGCTAGGCAGTTTTCTGGAAAAGGCAAAAAATTCAAGAACGTGAAAATATGGGCATATTCATATTTATAATCGTAAAGTTTACTGTATAACAAACACATTTTTTGTTTTAAGCTCTTTGCAACATCCCTCTCTGAAACTCTTTGCCGATGTTGTCAGGCAGTTTTTTTCCAATGCTGGAATAGAAACTTTTTTCCGCAGGATTTTCCCCATTGAATCAGGCTTTCTAAAGGGATGTGCCCTTGCATCTGCATTTGTAGAACCGACAATAGGAACACTATCCTCTAAAATTACCATGGATTGGCCAAGTTTCCCATTTTCTTAATTCAAATATGCTGAAATGTTAATATAGATTATTTATATGTCACAGAAAAAGCTATACCACCAGGCTACATCTCCTGCTAGGTGTGTGCTCTGTATAATCACTGTAGCAGGGTTAGGATGTATTTGTAGTTTATGGGTGTATTTGCTTTAAAAAAAACTTGGAATACAAAACATTTGATCAGTAAATTATGTTAGAAAGCTATGTTTGTTCCAGTTACAACATAAAATATTGCTCAGATAATGTTGGTCTAATGTACAATGATATAACACTGAGAGGTGCCATTCTACTCCACAATGATGCGTTTTGTTATCTTTGCTGGCACCTACAGCGCTAAACAGTAATTGCAGGCGTGCTTTTATATCTAATTTAGA